AGCATTTTGATTGAATTTTATTAAATACCATGGAGCAATTATAATTATAGAAAGTAATAAATGGATCTAAACTTGAACTGCAATATTTACAGCATGTGAAAAAACTGATAAAAGGTATGATACAATAAGCAAAACATTCAGTAATAAGAAATAATGATTTAAAATAATAGCGTTCATTGAATGGATGCAATGATGCAGAAATAAAGCTAATTATTTAGTAAAGTTACGCTGTTGTTTTGCCTGCTAATTTAGCCATAAATTATAGATGAAAAGAATATCAATGAAATCAAAAATGAAAAAATTAGCTTCGAAAATGCATAATTATGCATAATTATAAAGGATATAAACCGAAGTCTTTGGCATCTTTTCGAAAGACAAAAACGGAATAGCTTAGTTGAGTGAGCATGAAATTCACTCAATATTTTCGGGAGAAAAAAGGCAAAACTTGCAACGCCTATAAGTTTTACTTTTGAAAATGTCTTAGGTTGATTTCTCAATCTTTTTGGAATTAAATTTAAATGTCAGAAAAATCTTTTCAAAATCAAATCGATCAAAACCAAATTAATCAATTGAAATGGAAACTGCTAACATGTATGAGTGATTAAAAGTAACAAAATTGGTAAACTTCTTAATCATCACTTTTTCTTTAAGCAACAGCATTTCTTGATAGCAGTAAAAATAAACATAAAAGAAAATTTCATTAAGATCTTAATTCAAATCATCAGGTGTAATAGCATTCTATTTAATTCATCCATTAATTATTAGTCCATCTCTCATATATCCTGATATCATAGCTGATTCTGAGATACGGTATTTTAGTGAATGAAATAAGTTGTCGATAGCTTTTATTGTTTAAGGGAAGAGAGCAATAATTCAGAATTAGAATGATCACAAAAATATCATTAAATTAAATAGCATTTTCGTGAGTTTTTATACATTTGTGTGTAAAAATTGATTGTTCATTTAATAAATGGCATACATTTTACTTAATATAATACTTAAATTCCAAGAAAAAAATTTTCGAATGAATCTAAAGTAAGAAAAAAATGAGTAGGAATAATTGAATGAAGCCAACAAGTACAAGAATTGTTGTGGACAGTTACGATAGTATGTTACGATAGTACAAAAATGCGGGGGGATATAAGGCAGACCGATTATGATATATATATATATATCAGATATTTCCGATATCGGCGTTAAAATATTTATGGAACTTGATAACTTCAGATTTTACCTGGAAAACTTCAAGTTCTACCTAGACTAAATCTAATTTCAGGTATGCCTAAATCAAGTCTAATTTTATATATTATGAAAATATGAAGTTAGACTTGATAGACTAAGTTGCACCATCCAGGTTACCCGACAATAGTTTTTTCCAGCAAAACATCTTTTCTTATTTATTACTAAGATAGTAAAGAGAATAAAAATTCATTTTCCATGTTCGAAACAATTACATCTTAATTTGATTGTTTTTAAGTAAATTTATCGATTGCTAAGGAATTTATAAATTTAGCAAAATTTTTTTATCTATAACTTCCATGCTATTCTCATCAAATTTCTTTTTCTATTATAATGATGGAAGAATTTCAAACCGTTCTGTGGGAAAGTATGGAAAACTAAACACTACAAAAATGTTATAATGTTATAAAGGTATGAAATATTGAACTAAATGTGAAAATTTTAACGAAATATATATTATACATGAATTATGTATTTATGCTATAAAATGATATTTTTTCATAACATATTTTTCCTCCACAGAGAGAGAGAGTGAAGAATAAATTTTTGAAATAAAAAAAAAAAACTTTTAAAGAAGATGATAATTAGCGGAAAAATAATTAGCAAAAAATCAAACTGATAATAATAAAGTAACCGAAACCGATAAGTTTAACAAATAAAATGATTAGAAGATAGATATAGTGCTTTCTGACTAAATCATTTCAAGTTCAAACAACTGTTCCCTTCGTCATTGCAAATAGCAAAAATTGATTTCATATATGAGCAAAATAATGGGAAATGAGACGATGAATAATAATTTTTGTATTTGCAATGATGGGAAAAAAGCAACAAATGTAAATACAAACAAAATTATTTAGATGGGAAAGAGCGAAAAAAAAGAAAAGATAGACAATTTGTTTGCTTTATCATATTGATCCCTAAATGAATTTTTTTTTTAAAAAGAAATAAAAATAAACAAAAAAGAGAAGATGAATGCTTTCGACTATTGATTAATTTCATTTTTCGGTAATGGAAGAATACACTGTTGCCTAATTGGCCGCCTAAGTGTGGAGGATAAAACTATAAATTCTGCAGTGAAAGTGATACTTCCATCGTTGAATCACACGTGCACATACATACATACATACACACACACATACATACACATACTTCAAGAAAAAACTAATTGTTAAATGATTAACTGGAAATTTGGAGTTAATACTACTGAACATAAAAATGAATATAAATAATAACGAATGAATACCAAAAAAAAACGACCAAAAAACAGATTTATTTTCAAATATATGTGGTTTCTAGGAATTGCAAAAATCTGACAAAAAATGCAAAAAAGATTTGTTCATCATTACTATACATCATTGTAGAACACTATTACTTTTATAGGTTTTACAAAACTGGACGTTCATCATGGTATTGGAAAATCTTACGAAACTAATAATTAATCAAAACAAGCGATTAATTAATCAGTTTTTAAAATATAATACTAACTGTTGTTGAGAAACCTAATGCCCAATAAAACGTAATGAAAAGTCTAATGCTAAACAAAATCCTTTTATCAAAATGAATAACACTTATTTTTCTAACTTTTATGAGAAAAAATCTGGAAAAGAAGAAAGAAATAAGCAAAGTAGTCTATCCTAAAAATTCTCCTAGAAGTGAATAATAGCTATAGAGCTGATAATTTCGTCCATTCAACAATGAGAAAGTACAAAGTTCAAGGATTGTTATTGCATATATACGATTGTTAGTATTTATGTTAGATCAAAATATTCGATTGAAAATTGGCAAAGTTTTTTTCTGCTTCGCTTATTGGAAGCAAAAAGGTAGATAGAAACAAGCTTACGCATTTTTTCCGGTTTTTTCCGACCGTAACCATCACTGTAACCACTGCTACCACCACTTCGATAATCACTGTAACCATCATTACCTCTACCACTAGCACCATCGTCACGACTTTTTCCACCGCCAAATATTCCACCTTAAATTTTCTGACGGCTAAAAACTATGCACTGCAAAAAAACTGAGTATTACTTTTCGCGACATAACGGAATGAAAATCTTAAATGATGCAAATTTAATTCAGATTCAAAGCAAAATTTTAAGTACATAAATATGAGTATAACATTAGGTTTGACCATTGAAATAAACGAAATTATTTCGGATTTTGAGGATTCAACATTTGAAATAATTAATTACCAATTAGATCTCCAACCAGTTCCATTGCACCAGTATTTTTACCACTACGCTCTCTGTTTTCATTTCTATCACGATTGTCATATCCTCTCCCACCGTAATCAAAACCTTGACCACCTCCATAACCACTACCAAATCCTGCTCCACCATATCCTCGCTGATCATATCCATGACCGCCGTAACCACCTCCTTGATTGTATCCACCACCTCCTGCTAAAATTCATGCATCGAAGGTAGAAACTTTTAGAATTCCGCCCGTCATTTATGCAAGATATTGTCCTCAAGATAAAATGGTAACAGTTATCAATCCGATACTAAATTTCCTTAGATTTAAACGTATCAACGATCGATGCAAGAAGATACTGCCTAATGCTGGTAGCTATTCAATGGTACCTAAGGTATTTTTAGGTACCAAGTTGGTTGTCTTTCAGTGGTATCGTTCATACCGATGTTTGATCAATCCTTCAATCCTGCCTTATGATCTAAGTGTTTAAGCATTAAAAGAATGACTTTGCGAGAAAAATACCTCCATGGCCACCAACACTTCCTACCAGATTACCAAGAATATCGCCTGCAGTACCGCCAACTTTGTCACGAAGAATAGAGCCTGCGACATTTCCTATTAAACCACTAAATTCATCTTCACGTAGCTTAACCTAAAATGAGATTTTATGAAACAATTTTCTATAAAAACAGTGAATTACACTTAGAGTTATATTCAAAAAAGGAGATAATTTGCAAGAAAAATCCTCAAACTTTAGTCAAAATACTTCGCATTTTCAGAACAAAAATTTTCAAACACTTTTATTTCCATAGTAATTTCAACAAGTCTTGTTTTACATCTTTCAAAATTAATTTAAAAATTCAGATACAATGAAATAAACAAGCTTACCGCAACACATTCTTCTTCGCCATTATCATCCATAATTTTACGTAATACAATGATCGTTTGATCTCACGTACGATCACGGAAAATCTATAAAAGAATTAGCATTTATGTGGAAAATAAATTGCTCAAATAAATGCGAACATTTACGCAAAAATATTAATTTCGGATTTTAAAGAAAATAAAAGTTTATGTAAAATCTGCTAGTGGATTAAAATATTTTGTACAAATTTGCACAAATAACTATTTATCTGCTTTAAATTAATTATTTGCTTACTATTATTTATCTTCTCACTTTAATACCTTAAATTCCTAATGATTCAAGTTGGAAAATAAAATATTTTATTCAATTTGAAGTTTAATAGGTTGAAATGTGGTATTGCGATGAACTTTGAACTATGAGAGCGAAGAAATAATATACGTATAGAGGAAAAGAAAGTCGTCACATTTACTGTACGACAATCAATCGATATGACCGACAAGAAAAACAGAGCTGAAAAGATACTTCCAAATATTATGCCAGTCTGCCCTAATCATACTAAAAATGCTTGACCACTTCCTTATCTAATTACTCTGAAATTGCTTGACCACTTCCTTAGTGATCTAATTATTCTGAAGATGCCTAACTACTTCCTTATTGATCTTATTTATTGAACTACCCTAAAACTACTTGACCACTTTTTTACTACTCTAAAAATACTTGCCCATTTTCGTACCTAATTACCCTGGAAATACTTGACCACTTCTTTACCACTGACACTGCTTGATCACTTACTTACTCAATTTTCCTAAAAATGCTTGACCAGTTCTTCGCCTAATTACCCTAAAAATATTTGACCATTTATATCAAATAAAAATCATTTATACCCTTTTAAATTATTAAACTAAGCCAAGTAAAAATTAACTCCCTTACCTGTTCAACTTCTTGAAATTTATTTCACTTTAAAGATTAACCTGTAATATTTCAGAAACAATTCAATAATGATCAATAATGAGTCATTCAATCAATTCATTAATTGATAAATTTGCATGAACAAAATGAAATGGAAAGCAGAAGGAAAGAGTGAAAAAAAAGTTGACGTGAAATCCTATTTTATGCAAATTTTACCATAATTCAACATTATTATTAAAATTGTTTTCCGTTAAATTTAAATTCGAAAAATTGCATTTTTCCTCCATTAAATTTAAACTGATAAAGTTCCAAAAAGAAGGAAAAAACGTTCACAAAATTCAAAACTGAATAAAATTTTCTTTTTGGAAATAAAAAGAAAAAAACGGAAGATTTCAACTAGAATGAGGAGAATTCATTCGTAAATATACTTATTTAGTACTATTCCATAAAATAAACGGAATTATTGACCTGAAAAGGTAAAAGAATAATTCCGGAAATGGAAACAAATATTTCATAAATTTGTGATAAACGTAAATTTGTCCTTTTATTATTGAAATTTCCTCAAGAATGCAAAATTGTATAGGACGTGGTATGTTAATATTAACATTCCCTTCTAATAATGGGAAAAGAACCAATGGTACTTTGACTTCTCATCCTGAAATCCAATCCTAAAATTAACAACATGCACCTACTTTTCGCCTTAAAATTAATGTTACATTTTCTCATTGTAAAATTATTGTTGGTGTTTTTTCTTTTTTTCCTACTAATCACTAAGCATTTGACAACAATATTAAGCGACAATATTAGGCCATTCATTGTTAATCAGAAGGTATATTTGGTACCAGTGGTATCCGAAGGTACCTCAATTTATCACCTCTCTTATTAAGTGTAAAGAAATATGAAGTGGGATCAAATGTAAAATAATCATGTTTAACAAATAATAATTAATATTATTGATTAGTATTAATTGAATTGTAAAAATGAAATATCTGAGGAAAAAAAAAGCTTTCTAACAACACTCTTTAAAACTGAAATAATTAAAATTCGAATTTCTCAAAATTAATTCCATTATTGATTTGTTCGGAAGTGAACATGAAATGATGAAATGCTACACTTCTGATGTGTTTAACACTGACTAACTGACCGAAAAAGAATGAAATCAATATAATAAGTAAATAAAAGTGTACAAATGGTCGATGACTCATCATTGAATTGAATCAACCAAAATATGTATGAATGAAGAAATTGCTTCAATTTTTATAATCGCTTTTTTTTCTGGATGAAAATTTCGAAAATAAAAACTGAAATGTTACAAAATTTTTTTCAAATGTTTAACATTTGACTGGAGAAAATTTCAAATTTAAATCAAATTTAATTCAATCAATACCATATCATTAGCACTTCCGCTTGTTTTTGGTTTGGGAAAAAAAAGAACGATTTACTGCTTATAAATGATATCCGGAAAAGCGGAGAAACAAAAATGATGCCTGAAAAAGTTAAGAAAGAAAAAGTACCTGGGGAAAAGGAGGAACAAAAAAGGTGTCCTGAAGAGAGGAGAAAGAAAAAGATGCCTAGAAGAGTGGAGGAACAAAAATGATGTCCGGAAAAGCGGAGAAATGAAAATGATGTCCGGAAAAATGGAGGAACAAAAATGATGTCCGGAAAAGCGAAAAAATTAGAAAAAAAAACACTCCCATCAGGGAAAAAGAGAGTTGCGAAAATAATATGCATAAATGACCAATGAATGAATGAAACATACATAGGGATAGCAATCTTTCCTATTTTTTTAGGATACGGAAAGGAAGTTAATCCGGAAAAAGAAGTATGACGGAAATTCCTGAATGAAAGTGGAAGAATAGAAATGTGAGGAAAACAAGCAAAATAAATTTTTGCTACTCTCAAAAACTAAAAGAAAGACAGGAAGAAAAATGTTTGGTTTCGTTTGCGCTTTAAACATTTGCGCCCTGAAAGTTCATTTAAATGAACTTTTTTCTTTTCTTTTTTTTTTTTGTTTGGTTCAAGATTTTAACAAAGCTTTTGTGAGATTCTCAATTTCATTTCAGTCAAGTTAAAATTATTTGTTATCATATTATCAGTATGTAATATAGGAAAGATAAGCAGTGCTTACCAGCGAGTAATTAGAATGAATTAAAAATTAAGCTTGAAAATAATTTCAATTTAAATTTATCACTCTCTCTATATGGCTAACGTTTTCCAGCTTTTCCCTGATCAGGGACTCACTGCGTTACCATCCTTGCGGATCACCGGAACCATTGCTTTGCGGAATATTCCGTGCGGAATTATATCACTCCCTATACAATAAACAACTAATACTAATGAAAAAAGAAAGAAAATTGCATAAAAACATTTTGAAGACGATTAGTTTATGGGAGGGAAATGATAACAAAATAGTGTCAACAAAGAACATAGGAAAACTACTAAATCTATAGATGTATGAGTGAAGAAATATGAAGAAATATGAGGATATACATAGATGTTAAAAGAAATGTAAACACATCCCGTGTACATGTGTATAAATGTATAAGAATAAACATAAGTGTAAATTAGAGAGTGCATAAATGAATGTGAGGTTAAAGATACATGCAAATGAATGTGATCAGACATGGTGGAGATACATCGATAAGTGTTCCAAGAAAAGAGAATGATATGAAGTGAGAGTGTTGTACAGAAGGAGATAATTAATGAGAAATAAAGGGATTTTAGAGGGACAGTTATTGAAATGAAATTTGAAAGAGAAGAGATTGGAAAATTTGAATGAATTTGGGTTTATTAGAGAGGAAAGTTCTATTGAAAAGATAATTAATTTTATTCAAATTATAATTTTTCGTAAAGTTCAAAGAACAGAAATGTTAAAAAAAAAGAAAAAACGGGGGAGAGATATGGTAGAAAAGAAGTTGCGCGACATTTCGGGATGTGTATATCCGGACAAAACAACCGGATCTATCAATTCTTGTGCATGGCAACGATATTTCACGATTTGTGTCCGGACAAAGTGACATTCCGGAATATGGAATTGGACAAAGCGACCGAGTCAATGTATTCTTATACGTGGCAACAACAATTGGGGAATGTATCCGGACAAAGCAACCGGATCTATCGTGTTTTTGTGCATGGTAACGACATTTCGGGATGTGTATC